CAACTTCTTTGTTACTGATTAAGACCTTTGGGAGAGAAGAAAAGATCCCAGAGGCCTAGTGATCAGTGGTATGCAGATATCTTGCGCTCAACTGCTATCAAATGTAGAAAATCTGACATCCCTTTAAGTCAGCTGGCTCAAGCAGAAACCAAGACAAGACCAGAATGATGCTGGTCTGAAAGCAAAGATACATTAAAGAATTAGCCAAAACATTGTTTCTGCCTTCCATGCAGCATCCAACTAGGCAGAGTCATGCAGACTCAAGACCTGTTTGACTTCTTAGTAAGCCTGGATAACTAGGTGCCATCCTTCACATCCATCTTGTCAGAAAGCCATATCCCTTCCTCATAAGAAAGAACTTGATCACAGTGAATCAAGCATTTTTCATCTCCAGTATAAATTTCTGTAGTTTGCTGAATCTGAAGCTGTATGTGAAGGTAATGCCAAGGGTGCAGACTGCTCGCCATCTTATGACTGAAGCTGCTGTGAGCACACAGCCTTATGCTCAAGTTCTTCAACTGCTTCTCAGGAAGCTTCTGATGCCAATGATCCTGATCTATTAATTGCTTTGAAAATTAACCCTGACTACTTTAGAGACAGAACTGTGATCTGTATGCTGCACTGCAATTGTGCTCAGCCAGAACTATACAGATGACAAAACACCAGAGAAATACCATAGGATTAACAATTCATATCTGGCAGGTTCTAACCAAGGAATACATTTCTAGAGTCTGACCATCTTTAGGATATACCATATAGCTTTGAAAAGTTTTACATCATGAGGAACTAGTACCAACTAAACCAATGTTAGATCTTTGCTTGGTGTAGGATTAAAGAACACAGAACAAAACAAAACTGAGTTTTACTCCCATACAGAGACATACAGAAGATTCCACTAGGTCCACACAAGATTTGCTTTACTGACACTTAACTGAAAGGGACATGAATACTATGGCAGTGGCCGAGCATCATCTTCCCCTCGCTAAGGCAGGGGAACAGTCTACCAGGAAAAAATATTGTATTCCCCCCCCCCCCACCCCCCAAAAAAGGCAAGTATACTTTCACATCAATGGTATAAACATGCAGATCAATGCAGGTCTCAAGGGGGAATGATGGTTTTTAAGACAATGCAAATGTTATTGCTTGCATACAAATGCCATATCCCAAGTGAGAAAATTCTTACAAACCCCTTCCTCTGCCCAATCAGCTGCTCTGGTTTCTGCTCCCTGCCCTGTATTCCATTCCTGCGCTGCTTGCTGCTCCCTGCCCGGCCT